AATATCATAACATATTTAGCTCTGATCTAAACCTTCCTTCTAGCGCGCTAATGTGCCTTACTCTGGTCTCAACCTGTAACAAAACACGTCTTGGAATACTTGTCTAATAACCAATATCATAACATATTTAGCTCTGATCTAAACCTTCCTTCTAGCGCGCTAATGTGCCTTACTATGGTCTCAACCTGCCGTTTTGTCACTTCATAACACCCAGAGGTAAACACTATACAAAATATTTCACTGAAAACAGTAGGTGTATTGCAACGAAACTTTTTATTACTATGCACTGCTGTAAAATATGTTTAGTAATTTTTTATTCAAGCAAATGGCTATGAATCTATTTCAGTTATTCAAAATACACAATTAGTAAAACATGCGAGAGTTGAAAATTTAAAAATCTACTCTAAACATAGTTCTGCACATTCTTTTTAAGTCATATACCATGAACTAGTGTTCTACATTCACTTTTAAATATGTAATAATATATATCTCATAAGAATGCCTTACGCGTCATCTCTGTTTTTCGACAAATATAGTTATTTTACATGATTTTCATAAGATCCAGCCCCCCCAGTGGCACAGCGGCATTTCTGCGAACTTACAACGCTAGAATCCGGGTTTCGATACCCGTGGTGGGCAGAGCACAGATAGCCCATTGTGTAGCTTTGTGCTGAATTACAAATAAACATAAGATCCAGCTACCAGGCTTAACAAATTTAATACCTATTCTCACTGCCGTTTCATATTTTATTCCAACACTTTAAAAGTCTCGTACCCAATAATAACAAGCCAAAGTTTATGTTTCTCCTAAATATTAATTCAATGGCTTATAAAGTTTTATAATGAGTTTTCTTAAATTGATCAAATGCTTAACTCTCCTTCTCTCATACAAAAGTTTTACCACTTGTGCCACCAGCTGGCGTTCCTCCTTATAGTAAAGAGCATACATACAATTTCATACTGTATTGTAACAGATGCTGAATACTAAATCATGGGAAATTTTTCAAATACCAAGTTCGTTAATAAGGTTAAACGGTAAAAGAAAAATAGTAAAGAAATACAAATATTCTAACTCTGGTCCACTACGTCATCTATGGAAGTACAGTTAACAGTATCATACATGTGACAAAAGTTTCTGATACAAATTATTCCCAACATCTTTACGTCTGAGTGGTCTTAACATGAATATATGATATGTAAATATAAATCACTCAGTCAAAGACTTACCAGAGTTTCAATTGACTGGTTTAGAATTTTTCACAATCTTTGAACATACATATACAAATGTAAACTAATATTTATTTGATTGTTAGTTTTTCTCTTTCTATTACCAATTGTAGTGGAACAAAACAAACTGTAGTTTTTTGCGCTCACGTCAACACGTCATCATCATCATAAAACACAATTCACACACACAGTTGCAGGTATCAGTTCTTCTTTGCGTTTTCCAAAACCCATTTGTAGAAAAATATATATTTATTTTTGTAAAATAAAATAAAATTTTGACACTTACCTCCCTGCGCTAAAGCGTATCTGTACGTATCCAAAAGTTTTTGAAATAATCCCGACATTTTGGAGATTACGCGTGGAACTAGTTAACCGCCAGGAACCACCTGATAGACACAGCTGTACGAGAGTATACCAAGTTGAGCACGAAGTGGGCCAGTAAACAACTAACTATCTAGTTTCGTTGCTTGGGTTTTTAGGTTACCTGCAGGCGACGGAATTCCCAAGCGGTCAAATCAGGCGCACTATTTACTTGCTAGGGTTTTTACCTGTAAATCTAAAATTAGTGATCACAGGAGAGACAGCGCCATCTTTAAATAATATTTCGAACATGTACATTTTGAGACTTCAAAGCTTATCTATGACGTAATTTTAAGTTAATTTATCTTGCAAATTGTAACTTTTATTACGGGTCAAAGTAACCACATTTTAAATAAAGTATCAAATGTAAATATAAGTAACCACGATGATCAGGATTTAGAAATCCGTTTTTTCTTTGCTTTTTTTTAAGGAACTTCACTTTAAAGTCTAATTAAATAATGAAACTTTCTTATCATGTATGTTATGTAAAAGTCTTCGTACGGCACTTTTTATTATTACTACTGTCTATTCATACCGATAACATTATCATACTTCAGGTACTAAGCTACCAACCATGGGACCTCAAAATGCATGAATAAGGGGAAAAATTAAATTTGTCCCTTTCGAAATCAATAAATAAACAATTATTTGGTCTAATTTTTGAATTTTCTTTTAATTTGAAAGATTAGATTTTGCCTCTACTTAATCCACCTTTACTTATTTTCTGCAAAATAATGAAGTTAATCGTATTTTCTAAAAAAGGAAGATATTCCAGGTCATGCAATGCCCTTGGACTTGGGGTTGAACGACCACTCTAATATTGTAAAAATTTTAAAAGGTACGTTATCTTCTGAATTCAAAAAAAAAAAAAAATCTGCTTGGACCTGCTACCTTCATCGCCAATCCTACTCAGTCTGATGGTCATAATTATGCAATACTGCCCTGAAAGGCTAGTCTTAGACCACACAATTTCATAAACTTTCCACGGATCCTCCATTATATATGGAGCTTTCATCTGTGGTGTCTTCATAAAAAAAAATATTCCCAGCTACATCACAATGGTATTTTTTGGATCGAAGGGTTTTTATTTCTGGTCATGCTCTTCACTTTAGCGACTAGGACGTTACCCTGGATTGGCTTGGGGTATGGTTTTGGAGCTTGCTACTATCCTAAACACTCTACTATGGTAACATTGAAGCCTCCCTTCTTTGAAATATTGTGTCTTTTTTTTTATGTTCATATTGTTTGATAAGTTCATTATACCAATATCCAATCTCGGAATGAGCTGTGACGTATTCTCTAACCATAAGTATATTCGTAGTGGCATTGTATTGTCGAATGGTGAGGAATTCGCCATGAATCAAACATATAGTTGATAATCATGCCATCCGAGGCACCACAGCTCGTATCTATGGCGACACGTATTAGTATATACGTATCGTTTTGATAACTATTCACCGATCTTCTCTATTTATATGATTTAATGGTTCAGTGCTGGTTCTTTTCTTTCTTTTTTGTATATAGCCCGTTTGGAATAAAAGGGAAGATACTAATCATAAAAATTAATATTTAGAAACGTAAGTTTGCCAGTAGGTATTCAAAGAAAACGTATTTATTCTTTAGAATGCTGTAATAAATTCAAATTTCAATAACTGTGTAAGTATAAAAAGACTGGATGGTTGTTATAAGGTAGGCTTTTTCATATGATTAAAACTAATGAACAGTGAGAGTTAGAATAGCTTTAACTTAAAGAAGATGCAGATTGCACGGAAAAATAATCATAGAATCTTTCAAAAAGGACATGCTGACCACTGAAGGTTGAACTGGCTATGAAGGAAAGGATAATCCAATATAATCAATAATAAATGTGTAACTTATCATTAGTAAACAAATATTAAAGAAGAAATAACATCTTTTGGAGCATGAAATGGATATTATGTGTGGACTTATAATCAACGATGTGTAAAATAATAAATTTTCGGGCAAGAATGCAATGTCCATTCTTGTTCACTTGTATGAATGTTTCCTTGTGACTATTTAAAGAAGTAATACTTTCATGCTTTAGTAAGGTGTATTTTAGTAAATGATCTAGAACTGAAATTCAAAACAATGAATTATTTCATGGATGTGAGTTCCAGTATCATCCAAGTACACCAACTGAATGTTTATTTGTTTGTATATTCTCAAGCAAAAAGAAACATAATGGGCTATCCATGCACCGTCTAACGAGAGCATCGAAATCAGATTTTTAGAGTTTTAAGCCTTCAGATTTACTGCTGAGCCACCGGTGGGTGGGTGGGTGGGGGGGTCAAATGAATGCAGTATAATGATAAAATGAATGACGAGAATAAAAGTCAAAACCATTGCCATGGAGGCTTAGGGGGCGTTACTCGTCCAGTTTAGATCCATTGTCCCCACCCCTCAGTTTCAGATTCAAAGTTGATATACCAAATCTCTGTCAAATACCAATCAAAAAGTAAAATAAAATGCATCTAAATATTATAATAATAATAAGTAGTTCAGACATAAATATTTCTAATTCCTTAATTATTATACCAATAATTAAAGAAAAAATTCCGGAAACTCCCAATTGTGCTAATTTTTCATAATAATGTGATTTGTTAAGTAACGTGTAATAGTAGTTAATACAACTGAAGTTATCTCAGTTACATTTTCTAAAACCTCCATATCCTCTCCGAAATAATATGGTGCTCCCAAAGCGCCGAATCTGATAAAAGTAATTAATTAAGAACCTAAAAAGTGACAATGTAATAAGTCCCAAGTAGTTCAGCGGTACTCTTGGGAGCTTTTAACACTAACATTTGTTTCAGCAAAAAGAAAACAACAAAGAAATACAATACAGTCACAGATCGTATTGGAGAGTGACAAGAAAAACGCTATTAAAAAGCCTACAAAAGATCAGTCTTTCAGAGTGAGATTAAAATATTTGATTTGAATCTAAGTTAACCTGGTCATTTGCTGTAATTTATATTAATTCGATTATCTATTTTCAAACATGACTATGTAATTATTTTATTTCAATGACTAAAAGAACGTTTTAAATTTCACGTATTTTCCACTTAATTATAGAATATTCGTTATCATAACAAAATTAATTCCTACTTCCGACTTACATTAGTTTTAAAGAAAAGCACCTCGTCTGCTAATAAGAAAATCTAGATAATTTAGATGACAAATAAATCATGCGATATACATTATTCAACTTTATATTTTTAGTTTTTACATATACAAAGACAGTTATCACAGATACAGCATTTTATGCTACCGAAGAAACAGGTCACCCATGGAATTTTTTTATAGGTACCATTACGCCTTATAGTCGAAATTTTCCGTTCGTAAAACGCCAAGTTCGATGGATGCAGTTCGCTTCATAAGTGGTCTTTTCCTTATATGCGCAATAAAAACACCCTAAGCTTTAAAGAGAAGATCTTGAAACGTCATCAATTATATTACTTGGTGCTGCATAAGTTGCTTATTTTTCCGTGGACTGGACCTTTTTCAATTTATTGTCAGGATGAACTTTATGTTTATCAATAATTTTGCTATCGATTTTGGTTTTTAATACTTTGATTATTTATTGCCGGTAAGATTCCTGAATGTACATGGAAATTTTTTTATTATATCTTTTTATTGTTATTTAGATTGTAACAAGCCAATAATGATAAAATTTCCAAGAGATTTGTTTGCAGTTAAGCACAAAGCTAAACAATGGGCTATCTGTATTACGCCCACTAGGCCACCACTGTATCGAAACTCGGTTTTTAGCGTAATAAAGCTTCATACTTATTGCTGAGCCACTGGGGACTTTTCAATAGAGGGGGTTACTTGAAAAAAGTATTTCTAATGTCAGATAACACCAACATAACTTTATTTTCTACTTTTTAAAAAAGAAACTGTGAGAGTTAATACGTGTTCCTCGTTGTTAATCGCTTCAACACCCATATATATATTTATTTTGACCTGCGCATGTTGTGTTTTAATTGACGAAACGTTGGTGATAAGTAAGACATGTTGAAATAGTTGAGGATATTTTACATCTAAATTTTTTAAAGGGCCATTAAGGTTATTTACTAGAGCTAGCGTGCAAAGTCCGCTAAAAACTGAATGAGCTGGTGGTTTAACACCAGAAATTTTGGCTTAAATCAAACAGAATAGCCTTATAGTATATGAAATTGTATAAATCATATTCATAGTAACCAATACTAGTGTTTAATCTCTAATTACAGCATCTATGACATGTACTGATTATTACAAATGTGCGAGTTAGAAAGCTTGGGTGAAAAGAGATGTTTGATTACCGAATATCGACATAAGATTTTGTCTCACTATGAGCATTAAAATTTGAAATTTTTGCTATGACAGTTAAATTATAGGATATTATTTAACACAAGTTTTGGTACATATAACGTATCAGGTATAACTGCATTTACTGGTTATTAAAAAAAGCCCATAAGTACTTTACCTTATTAATTCAATAGCTCATGACATTCCAAAGCATGCAGAATCAACAGAGAGAAAAAAAAAAAGTATCTGAAAAGAAACCAAATTATTCGAAAGTTTTCGTAATGGTTTTTTCTTCATCAGCAGATTTATCTCTAGAGAAGAAAAGTCACTGGCCAAAAGCACTCGGATTATTGTTTTTGTGTGTGTGTGTGTGTGTGTGTGTTTTGTCTGTTGTTTCAGTAACTTGTCAGCTACTCTAGACAAACGGAACTAGTTATTCTTGCAACTTATTTTTTATGGATTCGCATGAAACACTCTACGTGCGTGTTTTTTCTTGTTTTTTAAAGCGATATTCATATACTTTTACTATAATCACAAACCTGAGAACAATTTTGAATTTAAACTTTAACGTTTAAAATAATGTTTTGCGTGTTTATATTTTATATCTATTTTGCTTTTCTTAAGATAGATTTACATTTTGCTTATGTTATATGTAATGTATGTATTATAAATATATATTTTTTATCATCCGCCAGATTGTGTCGACGAGCAAGAAAGTTGTGTAAACGTAACGTCCAGTTTCTTTTCTCGATGTGTTTGGGACAGGGCTATAAATGATGATGTCAAGCTTAAGTTGTATTTTTTGACAATCTAGTAATTCGTAGTTACGTAGTAAAATTATTTAATAAATTTTATTATGGTAAGTGTTGTTCACATATTATGTGGTTCTAATTTGTACATATACAAGACTACATTACTCATTAGTAGTATAACTATTGAATGTACGTACTTCGTTATTACTATTAGTATTAATACTAGTAACTTTGTGTGTAGACTACGAAAGAATCAGTACTAACTATTATAATTTATATGTATTACTACAATCATTTGTAAGTATGCGTGTCATATCGTATCGAGCATCTAATGATTTATTAACACCCAATATCATTGTTATGCGAGTGTGGTTGTTATGTAATGTCAGGGTTAATACTAATAGACCTAGGCCTACCAGTCTACTATACCAGTGCTATTACTACACAGCTACAGAGCCTCTGTTCATTCCAACACACCAGTTAGCACAATGACAGCATTAATTCATCAGAAAAACGTGTCATGTGGTGTAGGTACTATATTACATTGCATTTTAGAAGAAATACTCTTGAAAACTAGTTTAATAAGTGAAGTTTACAGTTCAAAAGATTTATAAGTACATTTGTGTTACATTACAATTGAAAATAAGTGATGGAGTTTCTTTTCCTCATGAGCATAAGTCTTAAATGCACTATTAATTCCATTAACAAGCTGAAACACCTCAATCAGATCACCTCTAACTCTTTATTTTTTTCAATAGAAAACAATTTCTGAGATCTTAACCTGCCCTTAAAAAAGGGCATTAAATTGTTGGAAAGTGCTCAAAAAAGGGGTACTAGGATGATATTGATACGTAGGATGTAAAGGTTGTTATTCTAGGATAGGTCAAGATCACTGACTCTTGAAAAAAGAATAGTATGAAGGGATCTGATTGAGGTGTTTTAAGATTGTTAAGGGAATTGATAGTGTTGATGCATCATCTTTCTTTTACTTAATGGTGATAATGATAGGAGAAGGACACACAAATTTTGTCAGAGTAGGAGTTATCTTCAGCCAAACAATTAAAATTTTTTTTAACAGGGAGGTTGATCATTGGAATGGTTTGCCTTCATATGTATTGAATGTACTTAATTTAAGGGAAAAATACAGCTTTATTTCCAGCAAGGATTTTTAAGCTTGAAGTATATGCTATTTTGAACTGACTACTGTGATTGGTAGGATTTTGCTGAATTATCTGTAAGATAAAACATCAGTGTAAATATGTTTACTACAGAAATGCAGTATTTCTTTTTGATGAGATAATAAAGGCTGTAACTGCTATTTTTCATCATTGTCTTGACACTGGCCAATCTCTTGGAGACTAAGATTACCAATGTGATTCATATTTTTCAAAAGAAATGATCAAAGAAGGATCTGGGAAACTATTATGCCCTTTAATGTAATTTCTGTTAGCAAAATGTTGAAATCAATTATCAGAAGTTTTAAAAGACATTTGGAAAGTTTGCTTTTAACTAATAATTTTCATCTTTGTTTTAGAAACACTAGATACCTGGCAGCGGGGAACTATCTTTCAAATACCTGGCAGTTCAAAAATTTGAATATTGATGAGCTACTTCAACAATATTATTAATAATAATAATGATGATGATAATAATAATACCATCAATTATAATAATAAATAATGATAATGTTAGTAGCGCTTTCAAAAAATTATCACGAATTATATGTATATATATTAATACATTTTAAATAATATAAAATATCATGTTGGAAGCTCATCAGTATTCATGATTGTGAAATTATGTACTACTGGATATCTAATATTTCAAGGATTGTTCCCGGCACCTTGTAGCAAAGTCATCTGCTAATTGACATTAAATAAGAATAATGACTGATATTTATTTTTCCAGAGTAAAAGTTTTATTCAGATCATTTCATCAAGCTTGAATACAAAGCAGTCTTGTAATTTACTATTATTCATTCTCTAGGTCAAGTGAGAAGTGATCGTAGCTCATCAGTATTAACACTTTTGGACTGCTGGGTATTTAGTATTTGAAATATCATCCTTGTCTTCCCAGTATCTAACCACTGCATTTTAGAAAAGGTTTTCTTGCCTTACCAATTGAAATTTTTTATAAGTCCTCCACCTTTCTGGTTGATGAGAGTTGATTAGTAAGTTCTATGTTGATGAAATTAGTAAAAAAGTTAAGAAGTGTTATAAATTAGGCTTAGTAGCATTGAGTAAATAGAGAGGATGATGATAAATGGACATTTTTCTAATTGGGAGAAGGTATCTAGTTGGGTCTTCATGGGTCTATTTTAGGACCTTTGTTGCTTTTTTGTTTTAATAATTTAGATGGCTTTTTGAGTGGCAGTATTCTCCAATCTAAAATACTAGGAATTGAGAATGTTTCATTTATTCATAGTGATATTTACAGTTTCATTCAATGGGCTATAGCATGAAAGATTGTTTTATTATTGAAAAGTGTAAAGTTATATACTTGAGGGGTATGGAAATTTGGAAAGGTCATATTTTATTCTGTGAGAGAAACACTGGTGTTGTGGGTAAAAAGAAAAGGAGTTGTTTAGTTAATGATAAAACCATAGTGCTTTCTGCTAACTACTCAGCTGTGGTAACTAAAAAGCAAACACGTTTCTTGTTTCTGCTTGTTGGAATTTGAGTATAAGAACAAGAAAATTATTGTAGCCTACAAGGATAGTTAAGCCTCGTTTGAAATACAGTGTACAGTTATGGTCTCTTTACTACTAGAAGTATATCAACTTATTGGAAAGAGTACAGAGACAGGCTACTAGAATATTTCATAGTTTTACATTATCTAAACTGTTGGAGAAGTGCAGAGTTTTGTACTTGTTTTTTCTGGAGTTCGAAATAACTGGTTAAATTGAACTGGAAAGCAGAGGAATAGATTTTCCTTGTTTCTATTTTGGCTTATAGTCTTCCTACTATAATAGAAAGTGATATGTACTTATCAGTTAGCAAGTAGAAGAAAAAGTGGGATAGAAAGAGAATTTAATCAGTACAAAAGAATGAGGAGGTACTTTACTCAGGTGTTCAAAGTATTTAAAGACTTAAATAATCTTTTGGTAGGTTATCTGTTTGCGTGGTGGAGTGGAAGGATTAGAAGTACAGAATTAAATGATGGGGTAATAGGTTTAAGGATTGGAAGTCTAGATACAGATTTGTTATATAAAAATTTTTTTTGCTCGTTATAAGCTTATGAATTGATTATGTATTTGTGCAGTTCATTTGAATTGTTTTAAAATTTTGTTTGAGAAGCTATGTTTAAGTTTGATTGAAAAAAGTAAAATAAATGAGGATTTTTAATATTGTTATTTGTTATTATATTTGTTGGATACAGGGTGACATCAGTGTGTCAGAAAAGCTTCTGTTACCTTGCCTTTGCTTATTCTTAAGTGGCATTTCAATGGTTAGTGATGAAGAGTGATACAGTAAAATGAGTATAATTTTGTAACTCAAACATAATAGACGTTAATTTTATAATCCATGTAACTCAGATATAATAGACTTTAATTTTATAATCCATGTAACTCAGACATAATAGACTTTAATTTTATAATCCATGTAACTCAAACATAATAAACTTTAATTTTATAATCCATGTAGCTCAGACATAATAGACTTTAATTTTATAATCCATGTAACTCAGACATAATAGACTTTAATTTTATAATCCATGTAACTCAAACATAATAGACTTTAGTCTACTTAGAATTTGTGAACCACCAATAGTCATCTGTGATAGCAGAAGTGGAAAGAAATAGTGTAATTGTAAAATGAATAATTATAATTTATATTTTATTGTGTTTGTAAGTAGATTGTCATTAGGTATTTAATAGTATTTATGTTGGAATGGTTTTCTTCTTTGCATTTTAGAGAATTTTAAGAAATGACCAGTTATGTTACTTTTTCATTTGGGTTTAGTGTTCTACTTTTCACACCTCTTGTATGTATGTTGAGCCTTTGTATTTTTATAAAACTAAGTATTTTTAATAGTAAGCTATCCTAAGCATGTGAATTTCAAATATTCACCGTAGTTCTTCATTTTAACTCACTTAATTTGGTTATTCAAACTTTGCAATTTTTCATCTGCATCATGTTAAGTCTTAGAATCACATGTTGAGGTGATGTTATTTTAAGTATCTTGTACCTTTAAATAGAAAGTTGCCTAATTAAAGGGCTTATATTGTATATTATATTTTATATCATTTTACTTTCATTAAGGCTTAAATAATTGTTTAGTAAATTAAATCTAATATTCATCTAAAGAAATAGATACAAGCAAAATAAATTTCCTTAATCATTTACATAAGTCTCACCAATATTCTTTGTAATGGTTATGCAAGATTCATCTAAAAAGATGTTTATGTATGGTTCTCATAGCATTTTTAATAAGTGCCTTTTGATGAACTTAAATTTGGTTTATACTTTTTAATAGCTTTATCAAGTTATGAATATTCCTACAGTTGATATAATGTTAGTTTATACAATTTCATATTCACTTTATGAAGTGGGGATTATTAAATATCATGCTTATATATAACTTATTTACTTTGCACAACTATAATTATACTTTTCACACTTGCTTTAGATGTAAGACAAAGTGAAAAAAAAAGCTGTTGAATATTCCTACAGTTGATATAATGTTAGTTTATACAATTTCACCTTCATTTTATAAGTTGGGGATTATTAAATATCATGCTTATATATAACTTTGCACAACCATTATTATACTTTTCACACTTGCTTTACATGCAAGACAAAGTGAAAAAAAATAAGCTGTTTGGTTCATCAAAGCTACCTTTTATTCTAAAAAATGTTGATATAAAACTTTATATCTTTAAATTAACTTAAATATAACCCATCACATTCATATACCTGTCCAAAAAATTTTAAAACCACTAAAGCTAACATCACAAACCAGATTATTAGGCAAATTGTTCTAGAAGGATAAATTTATCTAATTGAAAAAATATTTTTTGGAAGAATCTACATCTGTTCCTCCAAAGCTTAAGCCTGTTACTACTAATATTCAACTTAGTATTTCCAGTATTTTCAACAGAATATCTGAAGTGTAATAAAAATGATAAAAGTCTGTAATTTGGCACTTTAAACAATATGGTGTGTGATTTTCAAGTAGAATTGCTTCAGAGATGAAGGCCCATTATTGTGAATTGACTTGGTAGAAACAGCTAACAAAGTATTCAAATATAAAAGATGAAGAGCACTTGGTTTAATATTTGACTAGTTAACAGTTATCAGGGTGACAAAATTACGGTATTAACCTTTTTATTTGATGTAGAATAAAGTGGATCATTTCTACAGTACTAAAGGTTTATAATAACAAGTGCTCTATGCATGTTTTTATTTTGATCCATTTTCCTTCTCTGTTATTAGACACTTATAAACCAAAATCTTAACACATTGTAAGACTTGTACAAGACACTTCAAGCAAAGACTATGACAACTGAGCTGTGAGTTGCAGGTTTTTACCCTTCTCTACTAGAACACCAACTAGATATGGAAAGAGCAAGCAAAGCAATCCGTCGGTAATATTGTTTGTAGTACTGATTATCTATTGCATGTATCAAATTATTTGCATCAATTGCCAGTCTTGATTTTCTAATGGATGAAAAACTGTAACTGTAACAAAGTGTATTGAAATAATGTCAGTATATTAGAACAGTTACCATCAATATAAAATAATTTGCACCACAAAAAGAAAGAAAATAATGGTGTCATTTATAGATATTTTAGTATTAGTGTTAAAAGTATTCCCATTATGAGTCACATATTTGGTATGATAACTTCATTTTAAAGGGTTGGTTCAAACACTGTGTTATGTAATATTCATATTATTAAGAACATGAAATAGGAAAGAAACTGATTATCAACACTTTCGAATGGTAAAGAACTTTCAAAGCAAAATGTATATTACTTAAAAAATGCCACTTTTTCAATAACTCTTAGGAATTAAAGACATACTTCATGGATCTTATAAAAAAAAATTATAATGTCATTGAGGGTTATTTTTATCCAAGGGAGTCTTAAAAGTAAAGAGGAGTTGGCACTATTGTAGAGCTGTTTGTTTTGAAACTGGCAGGCCCAGTTCAAATCCTTGTGATTCCACAAAATATTCTGTACTCTTTAAGCTATATACATTTTCATTCATAAATACATAACATTATTTTAAATCTAGAATAATATTGTAGTGAGTCTGTAATAACACTATGCCCCTAACAGGTGCAGCTTTAAGTAATTGCTAAGGTTATTGTTTTGTTTTTAAAACTAAATATTTGATACAGAAATTTAAATTGATGACACCACAATCAAAGAACAATAAGTAGTATTTGTCAGTGATTTCAGAGAAAGGTATTATTCTTATATGTGACATTAACTAGTAGAACATCTGTTGCTGTAGAGTTCTTTGTAAAGACTAAATCTTTTATATGTAAAATCCAGAGTTATATAAAATATTCTAGTATCAGTTAAATATTATAGATTAGTAATGGATGTTTTTATTTTTGTCTGTAAATGATCACATATGTTGTGTTAAAAGTATGAATTTTTCAAACTTGTTTTATTTTTCAAATGTTTTGATATTCTAGTCACTTAAATTAGTGAATCATTGGAAGATTGTAGTTTTATATTCATGAAAATTACCTTGTTCAGGTGTTTAATTGGGTGTGAAAACTAAACCACCTTATTTTGTATAGGCATTTTGTATAGTATTGGAAAAGTTGAAACCTATTGTGACTACTGTAGGATAATTATTAAATAAAAATTTATTCTACTGTTGTGTCATTAAGTGACAAAATGAAATTAGCTACTAATACAAGTTCAAAATATATATCAACTTGTACTTTAAATTTCATTTACCATTAATATTGATAATTGCTTTTTTCAGTGGTGGTGTTCGTTTAAAATCACTAGGTGGTGGCCATTCAGAGCTTCATATGGTTATCTCTGAAATGAAAGATGTACAGCAAGCAGCCAAAGTCTTCACAACTGCTCAGAATTCAGGTTTTTTGGGGATTTGTCAAATGTTACCCAACATTAATTGAATAAAATAATTTTAATATTATTAGCTCTGTTGTATGTGTCTGAAGTACTTTATTCTAAATTTCTACTGTGTTGAACAAATTTACAGTTATAAATCTGCCAATAATAAGCACTACTTATGTACTTGTGTGTCAGTGTTTTTTGAAAAAAAAATAAACATTTTGAACAGATAAAACACCATATAGAGTGAAACTGTATTATTCACCACCAGGGAGGCTTTATGAGATGATTTCATCAGATATTTGATTTTAATCAATTTATAAAGTTAAACATTAAATTGTTGTCTTGTATGTAGCTTTCATAATATGCCACTAGGGATTGCTAGCAACAGAATATATGACATAATTATAGTAATTAACTTTTATATATATATATATATATATATTTTGGATTAGTTGGCTTTTTCTCTTCCTTATTTTTGTAAATTGCAATAGTTGGTAAGAGACAACTATTAATTAGCATATGTAGTATTAATTTTACACAGTTTTATATGATTCAAAACACTTTAAAACTAGTTATTCCTATTTTGAAATGTAAGTAAATAATGATTTACAAATTTGAGTTTATATAGAAGAAAGGGTATTTTTCCACCTTTTTCAAATTTTGTGATATTTATTGGCATTTAGAAACTTTCAGTTATAGAGTACAATATTAAGTGTCTATAAATGTCGTAAGTGGGATTTTACACAGTGACATCTTTGGATTTTTTTTCTTTGGGGGATATTGTCTACGAGATTACATTTAACATAACGTAACATAATGTTTTGGGACAGCATTTGACCTATTGGTCCATCTCGGCTGTTCCATTTTCTAAACTAAACTAAAACTATTAATATATTGATTTAAAAAAAATGTTAAAGCCAGCTCTTATCATTCATAAACTTGTTAAACTTTTTCTTAAACTCGTTAAATTTACTACCTCTACAACATCCAAAGGCCAACCACACTGTCAGAAAAATAAAACTGTCTTAGCTGAAGATAGACTCCTATCCTGCCAAAATGTAATTTGTGTTCCCTAGTCCTACTATTCTCACTGTTAAATGTTAAAAAAGATGATGCATCAACATAATCAGATCCCTTTATAATCTTAAACACCTCAATCAGATCCTTCTAGCTCTTTTTCTTTCAAGAGAAAAAAATATGAGATATTTCAACCTCTCCTTATATGATAAACCCCCCCCCCCCATTCCAGTTACTATTATATTAATCCTCCACTGAACCATTTCCAAAAATTCAATGTCTTTACTAAGGTAAGGAGCCCAAGACTGAACACAATACTCTAAATGTGGCCTAATCAGTGAC